CAGAACATTACAGACTCTAGTCAACTTAGCTTCAACTACTTCCCTCATCTGTAGAACAGATTACTCCTCTGCATTTTTTCTTTTTTTATCTTGCTGGCTATGAACGTTTCTTGTCAATTTAGCTATCTGCAAAGGAAATGGCAAACATCTGTCCTCCTAGCACACACCACATTGCATGACGGTTTTGTGGTTCTTCACGCCATGCTGCATGATGCTTCTACAGCCTCCTGGACTCAGCAAGGAGTACACTTGCACAGCTGCTGGTGCCCCAGTACTTCAACAGGGCACACCAAGAACCCATACCTGCCTCTGCCCCTTACCTGCCTCTTCATTCACACCGAGTCAGCTTTTGCAACCCTCTGGTGCATGCATGCCTGGCACCGGTGGGTCACACTCTGCCTCTGCTTACCACTTCCACCACCCATTACAGGCTGACTGCTGCTGGTGTTTAAATACAGTGGTACCTCGGGTTGCAGACGCTTCAGGTTACAGACTCCGCTAACCCAGAAATAGTACCTTGGGTTAAGAACTTTGCTTCAGGATGAGAACAGAATTTGCACTGCGGCGGCACAGCGGCAGTGGGAGGCCCCATTAGCTAAAGTGGTACCTCAGGTTAAGAACAGTTTCAGGTTAAGAACGGACCTCCAGAACGAATTAAGTTCTTAACCCGAGGTACCACTGTATATGGTATTAAATATACCAGTACTTTAAAAAAAATAAAATTATATTTATTGAAAATTTAAAATTACAGGAGAAAATGAAAAAGAAAAAAGAGAAAAAAGGAATTAAACAATACAAGTCAATAAAAAGAAAAAAGAGAACAAAACACACGATACATCAAAACCAAAAACAAAAGCAAAAAAAATTAAAAACAAATCCAATATTCCCATATCTTTAACTTTAACTTGTTTCATCGACCTCCTCACACCTCCCTTTTTTGTATTCTAGTTATTAATTATTTCAGCAAATCCTTTCCATCTTTCACTATATTCTGTCATTTAATTGTCTTAATTTATTTTAACCTTAAAAAGGTAAAGGTACCCCTGCCCGTACGGGCCAGTCTTGACAGACTCTGGGGTTGTGCGCCCAACTCACTCAAGAGGCCGGGGGCCAGCGCTGTCCGCAGACACTTCCAGGTCACGTGGCCAGCGTGACATCGCTGCTCTGGCGAGCCAGAGCCGCACACGGAACCGCCGTTTACCTTCCCGCTAGTAAGCGGTCCCTATTTATCTACTTGCACCCGGGGGTGCTTTCGAACTGCTAGGTTGGCAGGCGCTGGGACCGAGCAACGGGAGCGCACCCCACCGCGGGGATTCGAACCGACGACCTTTCGATCGGCAAGCCCTAGGCGCTGAGGCTTTTACCCACAGCGCCACCCGCGTCCCTATTTTAACCTTATCTTACCATAAAAAGCCCTAGAACTTAAAACTTATTTATACATAACTCCTTATAGCATTTCTACTAAAGCCAAATAGTTTCATTCCAACATTTTCCTAACACTCATTAATTTTACATTATTTCTCTAAATAAATTTTTAAACTTTCTTCCAATCTTCATCCACCGTCTCTTCTCCCTGGTCTCGGGTTCTGTCAGTCTTTTCTGTCAATTCCCTCTAGTCCATCAACCTGGTGATCTTCTGTCCGAGGCTCTTAACTCTTTTCCATGTCCCTTCTGCAGATCTTCTTCATAATTATACCTGCACTTTACTTTGTCTTCTGCTGATCTTGTTCTTAATTTCCTTCCTTTGTCACTGAGGAGTAGATCTCGGGGAGACTCCAGCCTAACAATGTCTTTATCCCTTCTCGACAGGTCAGCCCATTCTCCATAGTCAGCACTAAAATCCAAAAGATATTTCAAAGCATGTTTCAAACTCCCTCCAAAGTTAAAGGCCCCCACAACTCCAATCTCCCCCTGGCCCAAAACCAGATCCCAGAAGCCAGAACATCCCTGCATAGGGGGATCTATCCAACTTCCCATCACCAATCCAAACGGGACTCCATCTCTCCAAATCTGGCTTTCTCCAGATTCGGTCATCAGAAGCAACAATTTATGTTCCTGCAAGGCCGTGGCTCTCTCCACTTGTATTACTTGAGGTTCAACAACAACCTCCTCCTTTGTCTTCTCCACAGCTTGCCCTGTCAAAGCAGATTCCTGGGTCAGTTCCTGAGTAATTTCTGTATAGGTGTTCACTTTTTGTCCCCCATCAGTCATTTTTTTGTCCAAAATTGTCGATTGCAGTAGTCATCAAATCCATCTTCTCATGAAGCTGTTCCAATAAAGCACTTGTCTTGCAAAAAGCAATCACTAAGGCTTCTTCTGTCCACATTCTTGTCCAAGGTCAATGTCTAGTTCTCATGATCTTTAATCTCTACAGCTGGAGAGTTCCCCAGCTCCGCTCCAACAACAGTTTCAAAAGCTCCCTCTAGGGGAAACAATTTCTATTTGTATCCGTCCTTTTAAAAGCAGATCCAGCAACAAAATTACTTTCGTTTTTCAAATATTTTGCTCCTTTTAAGTGCAAAAGGAAACATTGGAATCAGTATGTTTCTCTTATTTAACTATCTGTCAACATACGTTTTATTCACAGTCAATGAACTTTCCCAAAACATCTGTCTTCCTGGCAGCCCGTTCCCAGGTTCAAAACGGTGGAAATTTATCTTTCTTTACTCTCTCTCCTGCAGGCTTCAACAATCTAAGATTTCCCCCCTCTTCTCCTGCTTCCAAGGGGGGTTTAGTAGTTTTAGCCGATGGAGCTTTAGTCCTTTACAAAAAACTTTCCAGACTTTAGCTTGCAATGTCTTTGCTTCAATCTATTTACAAAAGCAGAAGGCGGACTTCCTGTTTAGAACCTTCCCACTTCGGTGCCAAATTAAGATGTTTAATAGTCCAATTTTCCATTCTGCTCACGGGTAGTTGTTTAAAGTCCAATTGTCCACAGGAAAAAAGTCAGCGCTCTCCGGCAACAGCAATGTGGCTTCACTCCGTGAAAAAAGCAGTCGATTCGAAGCACCGCGCCGCTCACCCCACGTCACTCCGTGTACTTTGAGTATAAAATAATAAAATATACCAGTACTTTGAGTATTAAATAAAATATCAAAGTTGTTCTGTCTGATGTTTAAAGTATTGATTTCTTAATTTGGGGTCCAGAAAAATAAGAGTCATCTTAAACATGGAAGCGTCCATGAGCCCTTGCAAAGGGGGGAGGGGAAAGCCTTTGTAAAGCCGCTTTCCATGGAGTTCAGGGCCATTTTGCCTTGAGAGCTTCCCGCCAGCCCACCCTCTGGTTAGAGCCTTCACTGAGCCATTTTAGCTCGCTGACTGACAGGGCCAGAAAGAATTTATTCTTCTCTCAACCTGATTGGCACTTGGTTGGGGTTTTTTCCTGATTTTCCCCCAGTATAATTATGGCCTTCCTTTGTTAGGTGGAAGAATGGAAGGATCAACATAGCATAGCGGGGACCCGATAAGGGGCCTGAGTGGAGGATTGACTGCAATCCTCCCAACCCTGGGATATCTGCCTGTTTGGAATCTGCACCCTGGTTGCCTAATGAGACCTTGCTTGCTTGGCTTGTACCATGGCAAGGTTCAACACTAGCCGACTCCCATGGAACAGGTTTAGGCTGGTCCCAACCCGGCAGATCCATTCCATCAATAATAATAATAATAATAATAATAATAATAATAATTATTTATACCCCGCCCATCTGGCTGGGTTTCCCCAGCCACTCTGGGCTGCTTCCAACCGAATATTAAAAACAATACAGCGTCAGACATTAAAAACTTCCCTAAAAAGGGCTGCCCTCAGTTGTCTTTTAAAAGTAAAATAGTTGTTTATTGCCTTGACATCTGCTGGGAGGGCGTTCCACAAGGCAGGCACCACTACAGAGAAGGCCCTCTGCCTGGTTCCCTGTAACCTCACTTCTCGCAGCGAGGGAACCGCCAGAAGGCCCTTGGTGCTGGATCTCAGTGTCCGGGCTGAACGATGAGGGTGGAGACGCTCCTTCAGGTATACAGGACCGAGGCCTTTTAGGGCTTTAAAAGACAGCACCAACACTTTGAATTGTGCTCAGAAACGTACTGGGAGCCAATGAAGATCTTTCAGGACCGGTGTTATAGGGTCTCGGCAGTCACTCCCAGTCACCAGTCTAGCTGCCGCATTCTGGATTAATTGCAGGTTAATTGCATCAATGTGGGGCTTGGGGAATAATGAACTGATCCTGGGACCCAATGCCATGCCAACCCTTGCCCTGCCTGCTGCTGTCAGTAAAGATTTGGCCTGAATTTATCCCATCACTGTTATACAGTCTGGTTATTTTGCTGCACTCATGGGTCATATAATGCGCCTGCCCAGGCAAAAGGATTGCTTTTGGCTGCCTACAGGATAGAACATGTGCCAAAGAACTAGGCTTGGCAGTGGCTCCACCCCCAATCCCATATGTACAAAGTGAGGGGAAACTAGGCAGTGGTTGCTACATATGTGAATTGGCCCTGAATAGCTGGAGAGCACCTTGTTATGTCACTAATGAGATGTCCTTCATATTGTCATTTTATGGTACCAATCACATTAAGACGTTTTTCACTTGAAACTAGATGTTTAGCTTCTTCACAACAAGAAGGATGTCTCACACACACACACACACACACACACACACACACATATATATATCTGACTGTGGTAACGCTGGATTTTTAGAACTTTTCATATGGAAACTGTTGCACCTCTACTCTGTGGAGGGCAGTGTTCTTAAGTCAATCAACAAATAAGTGTTTCAGCATGTCGTACGTCTTTGCAGTGTCCTGCTCTGAAGCACATGCCTGGATTAGCAGATAAGATATATATTAATCTGCGTATTTATGAGTGTTTGGAAAACACTGCAGAAACAACAGGCGTGTTGTTCAACATAGAGCAATCCGAGATTAACACCTACCAGGGGAAATGTAAACATTAATTCTCTTTTGCTTTCTCCAAGTGTCTTATGACATTTCTTTATTGTGTGTAGAATAAACAATTAGGAGAAGATAAGATGGAGCAACAGTCTATGGATGTGTGCTTATGAATTTAGCTGTTGGGAGCAAAACACCCAGTTGGTAAGCCTACCGTCACCAAGCATAAATAGAACGGATAATATTCAGAATTATTTCCAAAATTATTTTTGCATGTTGTGCTTTGGATGGGACCATGGTCAATCGTTGTGTGGCTGTGAATTTTGACCCACACATGGCTAGCCCTTCCTCCTGAACAAGGGCAACTGAATTCCAAGGACAGAATTACTATTAGCCAACTAGGTAGTGCTATTTTTCTGTGATCTTTCCCAAATTATGCAAACTGCAGATGGGTACAATGTTTCTTATATGGTGTTCTTCATTGACTGGCTTCAAAAAGCCTTGGTTACTTTTGCAACCATTTTTATGATAATGGCTTGTTTGTTTTATAACTGTAATGGGAATTGGGGGGTTGCTCGTGCGTAAGTTGCCGCCACTCTCAGCGAGGTTGCCTGGATAAACCTTTCCCTGGCTGGACAGTCCTGATTCCACATCTGTCTCAGTCACTGGCAGAATCCGTCAGTGGGTGTTTCCTAAACTTCTTCCAACATAAAAGTTCCTTGACGGATAGTCTCCGCCTAGCCTCCCTGCGCGGAAGTCTTCTGCGCAGGGTGGGTGTGGGCAGTGGAGGACCCGTGCTCTCCCCGCTGGTCTCAGGCGAAGAGTCCTGGAGCCATCTCTCCGAAGCCCGCCTCTGCCCGCCTTTCTCCCTGGTGTAACGCTGATTTCCTTCCCCGGCTGCTGACTCCCCTCTTTCCCTGCTGGGCCCTTCTCCGGCATCGCTTGGGAGCCCTTCCTCCACTCCTGGCAGCGATGGCAGTTTCCTGACAATAACCTTGCCAGATGAGCCTCTTTTGGGGGAATTTATGTTTCTTTAATGTATTCTATTTGTTACTTTTTGGTATAATTAATATATATATATTAGTGTCTATTGGACCAAGCAAGAGATGATTTACCTGCACTTCTTGTTTACAGTATGGAAATGTTTGCCATGAGGATATTCACATGAAACTGAGCCTCCTCCTTTTTTGTTTTGAAAAAGTTCAACGTGCGTTAGGCATCCAAGTCATCATGTAAACAGTAGCACTCCAAATCCAGAAAAAGCTTTTTTGCATGAATCGCCCGTGGCTTCTTGTGCGCCTGGGAGAGAGGTATGTGCCACAAACAATAGTGAAGAGAAGACATCTGTCCATATTTCTTTTATGCCAATGAATATTAAAATCCCATTTAGCACTGGTATCCTGTTATATAGTATAGTGGTACCTGTAGTTATGGACTCGATCTGTTCCAGGGTGCTTTTCACACCCCGAAAAGTCTGCAACTAGAGTACCGCTTCTGTGCATGGCGCGATAGAGTGCTTCTGTGCACATGCGAGGTGCACATAATGTTTCTGTGCATGTGCAAGATGCAGAGAGCACTTCTATGCATGCGTGCATGGTGAAACCTGGAAGCATACACTTCCGGATTTTCCGCGTTCATATCCTGAAAAAATGCAGCTGGAGACTGACGTAACAAGAAGTACGACTATACAAAATAGTACATTAGGGAAGAGCAAGGGTCTCAGCTTCTCTGGTACTGTGATGGCCTGGGATTCTGATTCTGAGAGCGAACCGGAGGAATCCCAGCTGGCACAGGAGTCCCCGCCTCCAGGGCCGGCTGAACTGGGGCAAGGCCTAGATTCTGAGGAGCCTGCACCTGTTCCAGATCCTCAGGAGCAGGCACCAGGTGAATCCATTCTGGCCCCAGAGGTGCTTGAGGACTCAGTGTCTATAGGTGAGCTTCTCCCAGGACCCAGTAACCCTTCGGCCTCTCCTGAACTGCAGAGGCTTAGGGCAGAGAGGCGAAGGGAACTGGTTTCTCCCAGGAGGAGTGCTCGCCTTAAGGCCAGGAGAGGTGGGGCTTCTGGGGGCCAGGACTGCCCCTGGCCTTAGAGAAGATAAAGGCCAGTCAGCCCAGTCCCAGGTTGCGGGAGCAACGTCGTTATTGAAGAGCTGTTTCGGCCAGCATCCAATCCTGTTCCTCCAGTGTTCCTGTTCCCCACCCGGCTTCCTGCTTCTGACCTTCCAGCGTTCCTGTTCCCCGCCCGGCTTCCTGCTTCTGATCTTTGAGTGTTCCTGTCTCTGCCCGGCTCCCTGTTTCGGACCTCGCCTCGCACCTTGTGGACTATTACCAGGCTAGTAACTCAGGACTGAACTTTGACTACGATAACAGTAACCTTCCCCCCGGGACCAGCACAGTTTGCTCCCGCCACACCCGCACTCCCCCTTCGTTGGGGTGCGTTCGGGAAGAGGCCATGGCTGACCAGGCAGCGGCGCTGGTGGCATTGGCCCAGGAGAACCAGACCTTGACCCACACCATTCAGCAGCTAAACGATGTGGTTGCGGCGCTTCAGCAGCGGTTGGATGCCTTTCCAGAACCTGGGGCCGACGCCCCAGCTCCAGGCAAGTACCCAGTGGCCTTGCCAGAGAAATTTGATGGGACCCTGGCCAGTTTCCCCATGTTCTTCGCCCAGGCCAAGTTGTATATTCAGGGGCGAGCCCGGAACTTCCCTGACGACCGCACCAAGGTGCACTTTCTGATCAGTTTGTTAAAGGACCAGGCGGCCAAGTGGGCTTTGCCATTGCTCCGGCAAGACTCTCCTTTGCTAACAGACTACGTGGGATTTTGTAACCACTTAGAGTCTGTGTTTGGCAACCCTCTGAAGGAGAGCCAAGCCAATCGGGCGATTCGTCAGTTGAGACAGGACAAGTCCACAGCCGCCGCCTACGCCACAGAATTTCGGCTGTTGGCACAAGACTTGTCTTGGAATGACTCTGCACTACGGGACCAGTATCTTGAGGGACTGTCGGACGAGATACTGGACCAGTTGGCCATGATGGATCGTCCCACCACGCTGGACGCCCTCATTCAGCGGAGCCTGCAGCTAGACGATCGGTTGGAGGACCGTCGCCAGGCCCGGGACCGCCAGCACTCCCGGCTCCTAGCGCCAGTCCTTCCCAGCAGGTCCACGCCCACAGCCGAGTTGCCAGTCGAGCCAACGCAGCTCGGGGCTGCGCGACCTCGCCTCTCCCCCTCGGAAGACGCGGCGTCGGGAGGGAAACCTGTGTCTTTACTGCGGTGGGAGTGGACATTATGCCCGTTCCTGTCCCAAGAAGATGCCAGTCGCAGGGAAACCGCCAACCTCAGTAGCCGAAGGCCCTAACAACATGGGACCAATCCATGCAAGAGGGGCCCTCACCAGTGGAATTGCAACATCTCATGGTTCCAGTGCATCTCTACCCTCCAGGTGGGCCCTGGATTCTTACCCACGCTCTGGTAGATTCGGGGGCAACCCGCTCCTATATGGACGCTGCCTTTGCCGCTCATCATCAGGTGCCACTTCAGAACAAGCCAGAACCGGTACAGGTGGAGGCAATTGACGGACGGCTCCTGCGTTCAGGTGCCGTCACTCGGGAGACCCAGCCCTTGGTCCTGTGTCTCCAGCAGCACCGGGAGATGCGAACTTTGGACATTGCCTCCATGCCCCGGTTCCCCCTGGTGCTTGGAATGGACTGGTTGGAGGCTCACAATGTTCGGATTGACTGGGTTAATCGGACTGTGCACTTCCCAGACCCATGTTCCCATGCTCAGTCCGAGATGCTAGCGGCTGCACCCACTGAGGAGGCAGTACCCACGCTCCCAGCCGTGTACCGGGACTACCAAGACGTGTTCGAGGAACGGGGGGCAGACCAGCTGCCGCCGCATCGGTCTTTTGACTGTGGCATAGACCTCCAGCCCGGAGCGCCCCTGCCGGTGAGTCGCTTATACTCTCTAACAGAGCCAGAGCGTGAAGCTTTGCAGGACTTCCTGCGCAAGAACCTGGAGCGTGGGTTCATTAGGCCTTCTACCTCGCCCACTGCTGCACCAGTACTCTTCGTTAAGAAGAAATGTGGGGAGCTTCGTCTTTGCCATGATTACCGGGCCCTGAACAAAATTACCATCCCGGACCGGTACCCCTTGCCCCTTATTTCGGAGTTGCTGGAGCGGGTGCAAGGGGCGCAGATGTTCACCAAGCTTGACCTCCGGGGGGCCTACAATTTAATTAGGATCCGAGCCGGGGATGAGTGGAAGACAGCATTCGGGACCCAGTACGGGCAGTTCGAATACCTGGTTATGCCCTTCGGATTGTGCAACGCGCCCGCTGTGTTCCAACGGTACATTAACCACGTGTTCCAGGACTTGCTAGACAAGTACGTGGTGGTGTACTTGGATGACATTTTGATTTTCTCCCGTGACCCGGCTCGCCACGAGGGCCATGTCCGAACCGTGTTGCAGTGCTTGCGGGAGCACCGCCTGTATGCGAAGCTCAGCAAGTGTGAGTTCCATCAGCAGACAGTGGACTTTCTTGGTCACCGACTCTCTCCAGATGGGGTGCAGATGGATCCTGGGAAGGTGGCAGCGGTTCGGGAATGGGCGGCACCTCGGAACCGCAAGGACCTACAGCATTTCCTGGGGTTCGCCAACTATTACCGGACCTTCATTGCGGGTTACGCTCGCCGCACAACCCCATTGACCCGGCTACTGCGCCCCAAGACGCCATTTTCCTGGGACAGTGAGGCAGAGGAGGCGTTTCAGGGGTTGAAGGCCTGTTTCCAGAGAGCGCCAATCTTACAACATCCTGATCCCTCTCGACCTTTTGTGGTAGAGACCGACGCCTCCAGTATGGCTCTCGGTGCCGTCTTGTCTCAGCAGTACAGACCTGATGCGCCACTCTTACCCTGCGCCTTTTATTCCCGCCAGCTCCTGCCAGCGGAGCGTAACTATACTGTATGGGAGCGGGAACTACTGGCCATCAAGGTGGCTTTTGAGGTCTGGCGCCACCATCTTGAGGGGGCACGACACCCGGTGGAGGTGAGAACCGACCACCGGAACCTGGAGTACCTCCAGACCACCCGCAAGCTGAACCAAAGGCAGGTCCGGTGGGCGTTGTTCTTTTCCCGGTTCCAGTTCCGGATCCGCTACATCCCTAGCTCCCAAAACCAGAAGGCGGATGCCCTGTCCCGGAAACCTGAAGACAACGCAGACACGGTACAGCAGGCAGTACCCACCACGATCCTACCACCGGCTGCATTCCTGGCCACCCAGGAGGCTGAGCCACTGCAGGCTCGGGTGCGGGAACAGCAGCGGGTCGACGCTTGGGCCCAGGAACGACTCCAGGAACTGGCCGAAGGGTCATGCCCTCAGTATCCGGGGCTGGTCTTGCATCAGGGCCTTCTGCTGCACCACGGTCGCCTGTACATCCCGCCAGGGCCACTGCGGGCTGAGGTTCTCCGGATGACCCATGATGCTCCAGCAGCAGGGCACTTTGGGCGGTATCGGACCACCCATCTGTTAAGCCGTGAGTTTTGGTGGCCCCGTCTGAAGGCTGACGTGGCTTGCTACGTCACTGGTTGTGATGTCTGCCGGCGGGCCAAGGGCCCTACCGGGCGACCCCCCGGCCTGCTTCAGCCATTGCCAGTTCCACCACGTCCTTGGCACACGGTTTCACTGGACTTTGTAGTGGATTTACCCCCGTCTCGTGGCTGTACCTGCCTTCTAGTTTTCTCTGACCATTTCACTAAGATGGTGCACTGTGCCCCCTGCCCATCTGTACCCACAGCCAAGGAAACCGCTCAGCTGTACCTTCAGCATGTCTTCCGCCTGCATGGCCTACCTGAGCGTGTGGTGTCCAACCGGGGCGTTCAGTTCACATCCCGGTTCTGGCGAGCATTGCACCAGACCCTCGGGACGGAGGTCTGTCTCTCATTGGCCTACCACCCACAGACCGATGGCCAGACGGAACGGGCGAACGCAGTGCTGGAGCAGTACCTTCGGTGTTACTGCAGCTACCAGCAGGATGACTGGGTCGACCCAGATATTACAGAATGTTTTATAAATAACAGGGGTGGGGGGGGGACAAAGGACAGGCTAGAGAAGGTGACAGCACTGTGATGACAAATTATCAGGGCAAAACTAGGCAACATAGTGGAAGATCTCTCATAATATTTTAAAAGGGTGAATGGGAGGGGTGAGCATGGGCTTTGTGTACCTGGCAAATTATAGCTAAATTTTGCATGGTGGTGCCTGTGATCAAGGAGTAGGTTTTCACTGAAGTTTGGATACAATAGGATGCCATTTTGAATCAAGCAGAACCTTTCAGAACTGCATAGATTTTAACCATTTGAAAGCAGCATTGATTTTTCAGTTTCTTAGAATTCCTGAGCAGCACTGGTTATGAGAC